AAATGATAAGTGAAATACTAAACTATAAGGTATCGATAAGACGTTATCTAGTGACCTAACCCTAGTGCGCCACATAGACGCTGCATAAGCGCTAGCGCGTGGGCGTCTAAGGGAAAATCTGTGACATCACGCCGTTGATCTTCATGAAACTGTCGACGAGGACGAGAGGCTTCAGCCAGGTTATAATTGAAAGCATCTTGCTTGTCCGCAGTGTCATCAAATGTCTTGAGGTGTTTGATCTACACAGCCTTTCATTAGCGAGCTAGCTTTGTGCACCAAAGTAAAGAAGAAAAATGCACCTTTGGCTTCTTGCCGTTTGGCAAGCGTAGTCCGTCGTCAATCTCACGCTGTCTCTTGAGGTCGCGAAACCTCTGCTGCCGTATACGTCCGTCTTCACGCTTTTTACGATCTTTCGAAGTCTGTACTTGCGCTTCACGGTCTCGACTCTCCTGTGCCATGACATGTAGATCAGCGAAGTCAGCAGCAGATTGTGCTTGCTTCTCTTCGGCTGTGATCTTCTTGAACGAGAGCGTGGACTGGCGAAGATAACCTAAGCTCGGGCTACTCTTCGCCGGAGTTGAACGTTGATCATTCTCAGAATCATCGTCGGACACATCAATGACTGACGGTGAAGAAACCAGGTCATCATCGTTGGAAGCTGTGCTATACAGAGGAGTAGACGAAGGTCTAGCGGGACTGTCCACATCTTCTGCACTTGCACTTGAGGGATGAGAGGATGAAAAAGATGTGGCAAAGGAGAAAACTTTGTAGGATGTTGGACGAGTTGCAGCGCAGTTGTCTCTTGTAGATATCTGTGATTCATAAGCTATCGTGAGTTGTGACTGCAGCACAATGATGAGCAATACTCACCGCATTAAGATGGATTTTCGCGATATCAAGAAAAGTGTTCATGCGCGCCATGGATACAGATCGTCGATCAGGATTTAGAAGCGGGGTTCCAGGAAGCAGGTGATGCTCAAGTCCATTGATCGCAAGGAGACCGCATGAGCTTGTGTCGCCACCGGATTGGTTTGTAACAGGCAAGCGACGCAGCCAGCTGTCTGTCTGTTGGCGATCATGGAGCTCTGGCTCACTGGAGCTTGTTGTCGGGCTAGTTTGCAGAGCCTGTAGGCGTTGGATCCACCAAAGTAATGCTGCCTTGACATCCGCAGGAAGATCACCATGAAGAGAGTCACCGTAGCCAAGGTATTGCTCCTTGAAATTGAGTACAAAGAAGACAAAGTGTTTCTTCGAATCATCGAAGACAAGACCACTAACCGAGTCCTTGAAGTCGCTAAGAAGATCAATCTCAGTGACGCGTAGCATCGCAAACTGCGGCTGTTCTTGTAACTCCTTTGCAGATGTATGGCAGGCCATGAGCAGTGTCTCTGCGAACTCGAGATTGACTATCGAGTGTCTCGAGTGGTGGATGGGTGATGCTAGGTTGAGTTTATACTGTAAAACGCCGGTGAGAGCCGAGATTAAGGCACCTGTGAGCCGTTTGTCAGAGAGCAGAGTCGTCAAAGATGTGACAGAGGCGGAAGCAATCTCTTTGCCACGCAGCGAGCCGTTCCACTGTAGTTCAGACAGAGCCGAGAGGATGCGAGTATAAAGTGTTCGACCTGTTGCAGATCCTTGCGTATGGATGTTGAGCCAGTTCATGCTATCGCGCCATAATTGCTGAGCTTGTCGGACCTTATGTGCTTGATCCCAGTAGGTTGCCACCCAAAGAGGAAGAGACGTGGGAAGAGATATGGGTTCCGACAAATGTGCTGGGTAAAGTGACTGCAGAGTAGGATGAGCAGGCTGGTAAGCTAGCATAGAAAGCCCTCGGGCCACTTCTATTGGCGGGAGTGGGCAGTAAGGTAGCGAAAGTGCGAGAGAAGAGTCGTCTGGGCTACATGGAGCTGCTCCGGAAGTCCAAGATTCCAAGTCTACCTCTTCCAACGAAAGTACACGCGGCGCAGGCAGCCTGTCGTATCGGAGAAGAGCCGTGATGGATGTTGTGTCTTGCGGTAAAAGTATCTCGTAGAGTGCATCAGGGATCCTAAACTGCTCGCTACCTGCCGCAGAGGAGTTAGTATCGAGAAGATTAACGACGTGGCTTGCCATTGAGAAGCTCGGAGTATTTGGAAGGTTGACTGTGAATGTTGAGGTGTCAAGAAGCCGATGTCACATCATAGCACAAACTCGCTGCCATTATATATGAACGTGAATACATAGGCCACCCAGTCGACTGTCGGGGACAGAGGTCGTCGTTGCAACCGTCGGCGCCACGTTGCATGGCGGCCGGCGGCTATCCGCCAAGGACATAACGGTAACGCGTAACACCGAATCCATCCGCTCATCCTCTTTGTTACAACGTGTAACGCGTAACAGCCCCATCCGGTCCGGTCGAAATGGTACAGTATTTCCCTTCTGCTATATGGGCTAAAACAACAGCGCATGCCTCCACCGACGATGGACCGTCCGGACAACTGTCGCCCGTCTACACGGATTTTGAAACGCAAGGATACGACAGCGCCCGACGGCTGTCGAAACTCGCTCGCGACAATGGCCAAGTTGGAGACGCGGAAAAGTATGCGCAACGCGTCTACGAGATCGTATCCGGCAAGAGGTACGCGCGCCTAAAGTCTACGACCGGGTGGGGTGGGTGTCCTGGTGGGCCGGTTGTCATATTTTTTTGTCGAGCGCTTCTGCTGCCTGTGACAACAGCTTTGGCGTTCTGTATCCGTTCTGTGGCTTGTAACTGCTGTTAGATGCTCTGGAAGCCTCAGAACATGTATTTGCTGCAACTATATTTGAAGATCTCAGCACCTGCTTGGTAAACCAGTTGCGTGTGTGACAGCCGTGACTTGATGACTGAGCGCTAACCGGCCATACTCACACATGTGCTCGCAGCCGGAGTCGATTTCGTATGCATCGACAACGATGCATGATGAGCGGTGTAACTTCATCGCACAAACAGAATGCTGTATTATTTGAATTGATACTTCTACAGTAGCACCTGGTATCAGCATGCTGCACGGGAGATAACTACATGTAATGACTAGTCACACAAGAGTGACAAGACCATATCAGCTGCGACGCAGTCCAGTCACCTCTGTAATAGTGTTGAGCATTACCGGTTCATTGAACAAGTCCTACTAACTTCAAGTTCTGGGTTTCTAGCATGCAGTGCCACAGGGTCCGCGGGCTGTGGACAATGCTTTGTCAGCATATTTCGGGCGCCAAATTCCCTTTTTAAGTAGGTGCGGGTGGGTGGGGGGGAGGGGGCGGGCCTTGTTCATGAAAAACAACATCATGTCGAAAACTTTAGGCGCGCGTACCTCTTGGTATCCGGAACAGGACTAGCTGAGGAGGTCGTGGCTCGGCCTACAGATGACGGAAAGTGGGATGGCCCATGGGAGCTGAATCAAGTCCCTTTGGGCACGGACGCATTCACCTACCTCAAAAAGCAGTGGGATATTCGTGCGGACAATGTACGCGCGTTTGAATCTATCACGCGTTCCACGGATGTCGAAACGGAGCGTTTGCCCTACTTCCAGGGTTGATCAGACTTCGCCCGACTTGAATCTTATGACTAGGTGCGCTCACTACATGTGCTGTACATGTCTTTTAACAATGGGGCTCAGTACTACTGGACCGACGGCTTGGATACGTAGGCAAATCAAGGTTTACACATGGAGGTGGAAACACGGCAGGATTCGAACCTACCCTCCCTCAAAAAACCTCAGAAAATCACTCAAAAAGACTGATGAGAGTGGGATTCGAACCCACGCCCTTTCGGACCAGATTAGATAATCATGTACCTTAGTCTGGCGCCTTAGACCGCTCGGCCATCTCACCATATCGACAAAGCATGTATAGCCGTATATACTAGTACGTCGGACTGTTCCGGAGACACGCCGTGATCGGGATCCCGGATGGCATTCGCGCCCCGCACCTTGTCCGATGCAGCGCTCAGCTTTGGCCAGTGACTACGATCTTGCAGCTACAGTATCAGACTAGAACCACTTGGACGTGTTGCCTCTTCCTATACCGAGTGGTAAGTCCTCAAGACCATGACTACTTGTTCAGAGCTCATGGCAATCGATGCTCATCTAGCTCTTTTGTAAACACACTCGTCGAAATGTCTTGCCATAGAGCGCCGCTGTCCCGAAACCCCCTTCACGGGGACAAGGGTCAATGAGAGCGTATTCAAGCGGAGTTGCGGGCATCATGGACAAGATGTGCTGTCATTGGGACAGCAAGGACAAGATGGGCACGCCCGTGGCCGCAGCCTCCTCTGGGATATAAGTAGTGAGTGAACCGGTCATATTCACTGTGATACCTCTCCAGGCTATTCTTTCTGTGTAGCAACCGACGCAACCCATCGCGATACTGGGGCTGATGCGTAACCTTCGCCGTTTCCCTCCTACCAAAGTTTTGAAGGCCCCAACTTCAAGTGCAGTGATGGTCGGCGACGGTCCGTTTGGTAGCGGCATGAACGCATGCCGTCCGTCACTCGATCTCGATATACTTCTCTCCGTAATGCCCTGGATTGCATCGCGCAAGGATGTCTTTTCGTTCATGCTCGCCTGCAAAATTCTCTACCTCAGTGGAATACCCATATATCTGTCCTTCAAGAACACGATTTCCGATGCTAATGTGGGATCCTTTTACAGTTTCTTACGCCGTTATGTTCCCTTCAGCTTCTCGGCGCTTCGACATCTAGTATTCTATATTACGCAGAACCTGGACGGCGTGGTCAGCATGCTCACAGACATTCTAAAGCGCGGTCAAAATATTCAGTATATCCTCATACACGGTCATACACTGGACAAGGACTTTGCTATTTATCGTGCGATTGACGCACTACCGGCTCTCAAGACACTGGACATCTCAAACTGCTACGACGACCCAGAATACCAACCGGGTATGCTGTTTCAACTTCGGTCTCCGCTTACTCAAGTTGCCATCGGACGACCTGGATACCCCGGACATGGCAATAGTCTTGCAGTACTCGCGCACTCTGCTCAGACCCTACAGAAGGCGACCCTATACCTAGGACTGTACTCTCTGCCCTTTACCGCCTCACGCCTCACCGATCTGTCGCTGACATCTGCGACCATCCCGGAATTATCTGTGCTCTTACCTGCATTTCCCCAGTTACAATACCTCCTGTTAGAATTCTCAGGTAGATGCAGCGAAGCTCAAGAACCTGAAGTACGAGAGAACAACATTCGCTTTCAACGAGAACATCCCGACCAGAGATGGACCTTGAAATCGCTCTCGGGTGATTGCAGAAGCCTATATCTCCTGGGATTACAGACCAGAGTTCCAACAGTAAAGCTTACGGGCGCGATAATCGACGAGAAAACACCTTGGTTTCCATATCGCAACCTCGGAAATATGGACCTCCGGATCTCGCAGCTCCGACTTTCCCTAGAACTGCTTCGACCTTTGCAGCTCTCCTTTGCAAACCTCCACAATGCTCCGACGTCTAATCTGTGTCTTTTGTTTGGCGTGACCTGGAATGACCGGCCTGGTCTAGTGCGGCTTGACTTCGTCTTCGCATTCGATCACAGGAACTCTTGCGAGTACGAGGCCCAATTGGTATGTTTCAATGTTCCCTATCACACTCTTCAATTACGCTTAACGATATGCAGGACGCAATGTTTTCCCGGCTTGAATATATCTCACGGTCGAATCCTCGGCTCACTGTGCTCAGCCTCCGGTTTGACGACACGAACACACTTCCAGACAGCGATACAAGCCTTCTAAACGAGTATATCGGTGGGCTAGGCACCAGAATGTTGATGGAGCGAGCCCTTGACGCTATCCCGACTCTCGAATTGTTCGTGTTTGAGAAGGAGTACTGGATGATCGCAAAGCAAAATATCACACTCTACTCGTCCGGAGAAATGGGTGAAACGGCTGATAGTATTGCTGATAAGATCGTGGATCGCTTGTCAAAAGGTGTGCCTCCAGGTTAATCGCTCTAGGTCCCTACCGTGCTAATGGACAGACTACAGAATACGTGCGTGATGATGCCACTGGTATCAGTATTGCTGGAAATACATTGTAGTACGCGGGCATGATTCGCGGTGCGCAGACTTTGCGCGCTCGTCGTAGCGTCGCCTCAGTATCTCGATTTTTGCGTGGACGATGTACAGTGATGTTGTCCAATATGTTCATATCGAATGTGCGGTGTCATAACTCGCCCTGTACTCCTATGATAACCGCTAAGTGCACGATGAGTCGTAAGAAACGCATCGTGAATCGCAATCAGAGGACTCGTGTTTACTGTCGCGTGTGACGTGACGTAGTGTGACGCCTTCACCAGCTGCGTTCTTGACCAGTCACCACCACCTTCGACATCGCTGTTGCTTGATCTTGAAACAATAGCATGAATTAGCTCTGTATCTTCGGAAACGCCGTATAGCATTGACCAGCGAAGTTATACAGGTGCGCTTCGTGCCTCATATTCTTCGTTTGGTCAACGTTCACTAATCGTATTCGGGCGCAGACCTCCTACCGAGCCCGAGTCATGGAAGGTACATCGTACCAGGCCCTCAACTTCGACAAACTAGTCTCCGTTACGCCATGGATTAGAAGCCGAAGAGATGTATTGTCCTACATTTCCACTTGTGCTACCCTGTACCGCGCAGGCATTTCAATTCTTCTCGGATTCCATTACCGCATCACCAGCGCAAGACTTGCATCCTTCCGCGAATGCCTGATCTCCAAGCAGCCCTCTAGCTTTTTAGGACTCAAGAGTTTGGAGTTTTGGCTCGATGGGAAGCCTGAGTCAAGTGCGAGCGAGAGCAGCGCTCTCATCCATCTCTTCACTCGGGCTAAGAGGCTGCGACACGTCTCCATTCATGGCAGCATCACACACCAAAATCTTAATCCGTACCAATATCTCGCTGAGTCATCTACCTTAGAGTCTTTGTATCTCGCTGACTGCGACGATGCTGTTGATCACAGGATCGTCTTACTGTCTCGTCTTCGCTCGCCGCTTACCTGGCTCAAGATACAATTCTCTGGAAAGAGTGTGGACGTAGTGGAGCTGCTCTCTAACTTCCGCCATACCCTCACGAAGGCAACTATCTCTCAAGCTGCTCTATTCCATGCTACTCCTGGATGCATTAACTATACCAACCTGACGAGTCTAGAGCTAGAAGATGTGTCCCAGACACGACTATCGATCCTGGTTCCTGCATTTCCCAGCCTGCGCGATCTGAAGATAGACATTGCTTATCGCAGTCGCCGAGAACTTCATCAGCTGCGCGCGGATAATTGGCAATATCAGCAAGACCATCTGAACCCAGCATGGCATTTATCATCACTGACTGGTAACGCTGCCAGTCTGTACACGCTGGCATTGGAAGAAAGAGTACCTACCGTTGTCGTAACGTCAGTCTCCTTAACCACATTGGACCATGGTGATCGACTTCATGCTGCATTATCCCTACTTCGCCCCCTGGTGTTATCGATTGATGACGACTCTGAGCCGATTTATTCTATTGATTGGTTGTCCTCCGTCATGGCGGGTGCATCAAGAGAACTAGTCTCGCTCGACGTCCATGTGGTTTTCGGAGATCCGGAACCCACATGTTCGCACGAAGAGCAACTCGTGAGTCGTATTCTTCTTCCGTCGTACGAGTCAGCCTCATGCAGTGCCCGAATTCCAGGACATCCTGTTCAATGAACTTAGCCTGGCCTCAGTCACGAAACCTTGGCTGTTCTTCCTCTGCATTCGTTTGTCTGATGAACCCCCTGAATTCACTTGGTCTCATAATCTGGCATACGACTTTATCAACTCACTCGATATACCGTCACTCGCCACTCGGGCTGAACTTGCTGTCCCGACCGTCAAGTTCGTCAAGTTAATCATCCAACGAAGGCGTCAAGGGACTCGCACGGTATCATATTGGCTACGCCGAGAAGGGAAACTTGGTGTCGTTCCATCCACCTCCCATACTTTGGTGAACAACGCCGTTGATGAAATGATGAGTCCTCTGTTAAGGAGTATGACACAAATTTTACTCTTTCCTACCGATGCTAAATCATAACCCAGGTTACGGAGCTTCGGATGCGTCCTCGATCAATAACGCAGTCGGGCTTCCAGAGCAGCTCCAGGCGTTGTACAACTGCAAAACGTTGGACATGATTCGTATGCCCTGCGATACGCTGGATCCTCCGCTCGAAAGTGCGTTCCCAACTTTTGCGTCCCTACTCGCTACTAGACATTGAGATTCGCACGCTTCCGTACACACTAGTCGCCGCCTGAGTTGGAAGTTTACTAGTCCTGAGTGGGACAGACGGTATGTTTCCCGGCTGCAAGTTCTATTCCGCGACGCAGTCCGTCACGCGGACCATGTTGATATATCGGATACCTCAGCCTCGCTGAGTGTTTCAAATCTCGGTTGCAATGTTTTGCCACCGCGCTCTACTTCAGAATGTTCAGTATCTACACAGTTTATACCGAAACCCCATGTCACGGCAGGCCTTCCGTAGGGAACCATAAAACTACTTGTCAAGTTTTGTCTCGATATCGTCGTGTTGAGAATAGCGCAGTTTGGAAAGCTTCCATCAACCACCATAGCAAGTTCCACGTTGCGACCAACAGCCGTGCGCTCCGGACCGACCACCACCTGTGCCCAGACCGTCATTTTCTAACTTGCGCCGAGGCCAGCGTAGGTTTTTACTCAAAGTCTCAACGATGTTGTTCATCCTTCTTCACCATTTCCCACCGCCGCAACGTCCAAAGCAGCGGCAACTCCTCGTCGTGATAGGTCTGGTTCAAAGCGCGCAGGCACTACTACCAGGGCATCTCGACGCGTCGATTTTCATGCTTTGGC